TGCCATAGCAATGCCGCACTTGCAGCCCTTGAGCACTGGGGCTGCCACGGAGACGTTGGATTACGCACAGGTGGGGTAAGGTGCCATGCAAGGGACATTCCACTCTACCAGGCACCTTTGCAAAAGTGACTTCTCCCCGGCACCTGTGGGAGCTTAGCTGCATGGGGCCTGCCAGCGCTGAAGCAGTGGTGTGCCCTGTGGCTTCAAACACGCCCGATGCTGCTTTTCGTGCAAGGGTCCACCCTGCCCACCTGGGATGACAAGAGAAGCTGCATGGGGAGTGTGTCTGAGGGTAGGAGCCATGGGAGAGTGGACAATATGCATGGGAATAAGACAGTCACTGCCTTCCTCATCAGCCAGAGCAAGAAGGAGCTACACCCATGTGCATACGTGCCTTATTGTAAATGCAAAAACAAGCAAAATGTTTATGTCAGTAGTTTAAAATGCCTTGCATTATTACTAAATACTGGTTATTGGATAGACATCAGCTGATATGGTTGGCTAAGCATCGGCTATCAGTATCCATCAAAAAAATCTTTATCAGTGCACCCATATTAGCTAAGTAAATTTAAATTATAATTAATTATACAAAATTCTATATATAAACAAGAATATTTAGTTATTTAATTGCAATCCCATGATTCCCATGATATCTATAAAATGGAAAATTTCATAGTGTATTGAACATCTAGATGACAATGCAAACTGTACTAAAAAAAATCTTAATATTTAGGCTACCTGACTCGCATATAAATTAAGAAATGGGATTCACACAACTGGACAAAGGGAGAAGGCTTGAAATTTTTCACTACTTCCATATGTCATTTGTTGCCTGTATAGGGTCTCTTTTCTTCCCCCCTCTTCACTACTGACATAAAAACAGGAATAAGCAGATAGGCAAAATGCCCCCATGTGACTGAGAACACACTTGATTTAACCAGCCCCACTCAACACCTGCAACTAGGATCCTCCCAGCAGCGGATAGGAGGCACAGTGCTTAACCCTTGCTAGCCAGACATAGGTGCTACATATGAAAATATAGGTAGAATTCCCCAGTGAGATCCAGGGACAGAGCACCAGTCAAAGGTCTCTAAATCTTACTTAACTCCAAGGTCTACCAACTAATTGCCTTTATACACTGCTTCAGGATCTTATTTGCCTAAGAGACTCAAGGGAATGGGGGGAAGCTGTCAGTTGGTGATATCTTTTATTCCATCAACTGCATAGTTGGGAGAGCTGTTTCTACAGGTGACCTGAGGAAGGGCACAACTCTACCAACTACGCAGTTGATCCAATAAATGATATCACCAAAAAATCCCTTGCTTCTTGCATATTTCTTACACCAGTGTTTCTCAAGCCGTGGGTCACAAGATTATATGAAAGGGTCATGAACACACTTTAAAAATAAAGCAACAAATTTAAAAAATGGATTTGCCTTTTAATTTTCTCCTTTTAAAGCAGAAAAATGTGGGAAACTGTGGCTTTTCCCATGCAAGCTGTGAGAGTTCCAGCCTGCAAGGGACTGACTGGGGGCCTCCCATGCCCCACACACACACACCTACCCCACACACCCAACCCCTGCCCCACACAGTGGAGGGCTGGGGCTGGGGGGCAGTGGGTCAGGAGTGAGAGGCACTGGGTCAAGACTGGCCAATGATGTTAACAAATGGCTCTTGGTAGAAAAAGGTTGAGAACCACTGTCTTGGTCCATCAAAAGTTCAGTACACTTCAACCTTTCTATATCCAAGTCAGCTCTTCATCTTCAGAGCCTCTTAGATGCTTGGAGGCAGAACTATCCCTTCAACTCCATACCTTCCTCATTCTCTAAGCTGCTGTTAGGAGACAGCAGGTAAGCAGACAAAAGTAGATGTTAATATTTCTGATACTCTCATTTTTGGTTATATTCCCCTCTGTCTCCTTAAATAACTTCCAGGCATCTCTCTGCTGCTGAGCCGTCTCCAATAGCAGTAGTGTTAAACTGATAAGATTCTCAACACTTCCAGGATTGCCACAGATTTCTAAACAGAGCTGTTAGTTCTACTCTGTTGGTAACATTTTGAATAGCAGCACATGCACAGAGCTATGCAAGGTCAGTCTGCTCACATGCATGACTGCACCTTTGCAACTAAGAGGGCTGAAGTGTTGGATTTTTTTAATTTACTCTGATCCATTCAACTCCCCAAGTTTATTTTTTACTGTCACACTTTCCTCTTTACTCTTCTATCCTTTGCTTATGTCTTCTACTCTTATCTTACTCTATGCAACAATGACAGCAAGAACTATCAAACAGTAAAGCTTATGAAACCAGTAAGAACAGCTGTGTTTTCAGCAGAGGAATGAGCCAAATGCCCAACCAACAGCTGTTGTTCTGGTCTTCTTTGCTAAAACCCAAAGGACTGCAGCTACAACTGTGGAGAAGTCTGATGGGCCTAATACCATTAACTATCCCAGTCTAAGTAATGGCAAAAAAAGTGGTAAGGGGAGGTAAAAACAGACATCCTTGGTCAGCTGACTTAGCAAGTAGGCAAGATCTTCCTACCTGACCCCAGTCCTACAAGTCTGACCTGTTCCTAGAACAGCTTTCTGCAAGTACAAGAAAAGATCTGTCCAAGCTGAACTTATTACAGGAGAAAGTCTTAGGAGGCACCAGAGTTGCTAGTGCGAGAACCTGTGGTATATCAGTCACTTTAAAGACCCAGTGACAACTTAAGAAGCACATTTCCATATCAGAAACAAACCTGAAAATGTAAGAAAATGCTTAAGTTCAAGCCAAGAAAACTTCCTACAACGTAATCATTCAAAACAATCTTGGTATTTCTTGTTTTGCCAAAGATGACCTCTGAAATTCCAAAAGTCCGAATTGTCACTGAATGCCTATGATGCCACAAAACAATGTATTTTGAAACATCTTTGGTCAAGTGCAGGGGGGAGGCTGGACCCAATAATCTGTAAGGTCCCTTCCAGCCCCTAACAACTATAAAACTGAAATGCTGAAACTACTGCATTTGCCTACCCAAGAGCCTTCCACAATGACCCCTCTTCCAATCTGGATACTGGAGGTACAACATGGTCTACTGAATATGCCACAGGACTGAGAGCAACAAGATTTTAAGGTCATTTTTTGTGTGTACAATTTTCTTTCCAACCACATGCCTTACAGCCTCTCAAATGAAAGGTTCACAAGCTTAGTACTTCATAAAAATTACAGTATTTAAGCCTATAGGGCCTTGGTTAGTGCCTTTATGTACTAGTGTGTTACATGACAATGGGGACATTCAGGCCAGGAGCTCTTGCTCCACTCACTCACTCATTTGTTTTAGTTTCATAGTTGTTGGGGTCAGAAAGGACCTCAACAAATCATGGAGTCTGACCCCTTGCCCTGGGTAGGAAAGAGTGCTGGGGTCAGATGACCCCAGCCAGGTGCTTGTCCACTCTCCACTTAAAGACCCCCAAGGTAAGGGAGAGCACCACCACCTTTGGAAGCCAATTCCAGATTCTGGCAACCCTCACCTTTTAAGTAATAACGCCAAGTCTATTTAACTTAGATTTGTTAGTTTCATCATAACACTTACATTCAAATACAGACAGGTAAAAATCAATTGCAGGAAAGTGAAAAGTAGTGGGGAAAAAAGGGGGCAATCAGGAGTAAGTAGCCCAGAATGCAGCTTAGGTGTTTTCTTATAGTCACATCATTTCTTCCTAAACCCAAAATAACCTGGTATCAATTAAAATTACATTCCCACCTTATCTGTACGAAATAAAAACAAACTGCACAGGGATATACAGGTTTCCTTCCACCAACCACAGGGGTTAGTTTCCCAAAAGTTCCCATGGTTGGCAAAACTAGCAGGGCTGTGGGAGCAGGGCCTGTGGAGGAGATGGAGGGGGGAGAGAGGCAAAAGGGGGGGTAGGGGGGTTGTGGGGGGTATTTTCCAACAGGGGGCTGTGGGGGGTATTTTCCAACGGTACCCCACCTTTCTCTGAAGTGTGGATACTCAAAACCATGGTAGGTGCAGGAAACCCCTACTAGCAAGTGGTGTGCACAGGTCACACAAGTGATTTTTCTGCTCCACCTAACGCTGGCAAGGCCCCCTGTGGAGCACCCTGTGTCCCCTTGGGCCCTGCAATTCAAAGACAAATTGGAGAGCACAGGGAAAAGCAATCAAAAGTGTGTCGAGGTCTAACAATATGACACACGAGGAAAGACTAGAAAATGTTGGAGGAGGGAGGAGAGGGGGATACACGAAGGATCGTTACAGAGAACAGCAACAGACACCGCTTTCGCGGACCGGGAACAGAAGTCGCAATGGCTTTAAATGACAGCGGAGATGCCGGCCAGAAAGCGAGAGCGCAGCTCCGGCCCCGCAGCGTGACCTTGGGCCGGGCTCACGGTCGGGAGGGGAGCGGAGGGGACGGGTGAGGATGTGGCGCCCCCCGAAAGAAGCCGCGGGCCGCTCCTCCTCTACCCGGGGCCCGCGGCGGGGCCGGGCCGGGCCGGGCCGGGCGCA